TCTCTCTCTCTCTCTCTCTCTCTCTCTCTCTCTCTCTCTCTCTCTCTTTCTGAAGGATAAGAGTGTGTTTGGCCTGAGGCCAGGAATGATGTCAATGCCTCCTTCAGCAGAACAGAGAGGGGTATCGATCCAGTCTCAAGGCAGCGTCTCTGCGTGAGCGAGAGTGTGTGTGTGTGCGTGTGTGTTCGAGTCACATCAGCCAGCTCAAAAATTGATTATTCAGCAGGAATATACCAAGAGGTGAGAGGAGTGAGCATGCATGTGTCAGAAACAGAAAAAATTAGGTAGAATGGAGAGCGAAGGGGAGACAGCGACGGGGCACATGGATGTTTGCAGAGGGCTCAATACTTTTGCATTAAGGGTGAGCAGGAGACAGGTGAAAGAGACAGAGAGGTAAAGGGAATAATTGAGATCAAGTATTCCCATCTGCACCTCTATTATTCACAGCCCCACACTCACATTGACATTCATCCCACATGCAATTTTCTGCAATCGTGCATGGATACACATACTCACACACATATACAAAGTGTTTCTTTCCCTGGTAGTTGCTCAGTAATTGTTTGTGTCACGTCTTCCCAGGACCCCCCAAAGCAAGCAGTGTTTAGAGCAAGGGACGGGAATGAGCAGAGCGGCGAGATGAGCAGAGGGGGTGAAGGAGGATGGGGAGAGGCAGGAAGCTGGAGAGAAAAACATAACCCTGGATGTAGAGCCTCCTCATATCGAATGGAAATATATGGAAATGCACTCTGCCTTTGGCAAAACACACTTTAGATAGAGGGCGGGCTACTTCTGAGGAGAGGCAAAATGGCAAGAAAATACAAGTGTGCACGAGTGTTCATGAGACAGAAAACAGGACAAGTTGTAAGTGTTGATTATATACAGCCTTAACGGTGAGCATTTGTGTTTGTGTGTGCAATGTTGTCTTCAAACACAACCAATTTATTTGTGTGTGTGTGTGTGTGTGTGTCTGTGTGTGTTTGATCCTTGATTTTAAAGCATTTGAAAAAGTGGCAGTGATGATTCTGATAGAAGGCTTTCCTGTCAAACACCACAAATCGGCCTCCTTTAGAACCGAGTATCGAACCGTAATATAATCTGAACATTGACTGAAATGTTTCCATAGCGCATAACATCAAAAACTGTCAAAGTGGAACCTGTTTTAAATGCTTCATCAGACTCTTTGTCTTTTCTTCTTTTCATGTTTTTAATTGTAATTGTTTGTGCACTTGCCTTGCATTACACCCTGATGCGTTTAAGAAATTCAGCTTACTTTGATGAATGAAAAAAAGCTTTTATGAAATCCAGCTTACTTTGTTAACTGAAAAACATTCTTGAACTTAGGGTGTCAAAAAAGTATAGTTTTGGTATTGGTTCAAAAATCAGGCACTTTATTGGCAGTGGTATCAAAAAACAATTCATGTTGCACCTAACAAACATTATAAACACTCTGAAGTTGTTCGAATCAACCTCAGCAGCACATATGGTTTATTTTCACACACACATACTGTATACACACACTATTTTGTATGTATGTAAGCATCCTCTACTGGATGGAGCCCATACTGAACTTCCTCTTCATCTTGTCCACCTTGACACTCTGTACTTTCCTCGCTTTCTCCTCCTCTTCTTTGTCCCCTTCACTGTTACTGATCTCTCTTGCAGTGTCTGTGAGCTGACGACAATCTGACTTTTTGTGAATTCCAAGTGGGTTATGTCTAGTCTTGCTGAGGCAGTAAATTTCACAATCTCTTGTGCTGTAATTGTCAACATCAGATTTATAGCATTTTAGAAAAGACATTAGGAAAAAATGCATACAGCATGTTTGCAATTTAGTTTTAGCACCGCAATCAATACAGCCTAAGTGGGTATAACCTAAGTTCTCCTCTCCTGTTCTCTCATTTACTCTCCTCTCCTCCTCTCCTCCTTTTTCACTTTTTGTCTCGCTTCCTCCATTTTTCTTTTCTCGTCTACCCCTGCAATCTCCTCTCCTCTCCTCTCCTCTCCTCTCCTTTCCTCTCCTCTCCTCTCCTCTCTCTAGTGTCTGTATGGCTGCTACGTCCACTCCTCCATCATCCCCACCTTCCATCGTAGATGCTATTGGCTGCTGCAGGTAAGCCCACCCCCCTTTCCCACCTTGCCTTTTGTCACACATTTATACACATACAAAACAAGACTGGGACAGCATTCATAGTCTGGTGATAATTTGTCCTATATGGCAGCATATCTTTGTAATTTCAGGTCTTTCGCCCCACACTATGACCATCTTGTAACATTTATTCCAGCTATATTAAGGCATTATTCCTTATTTTTCACAAAACTGGGCAGCCAGAATATATATTATCAGTTTTACACAAAGTTTTGTCTGTTAAACTGTCCATTTCCAAAACAAAACACTAAGATAAACCATTAACCAGCAATAAACATCACCCTCCTCTAAATTAATGAGGCAGACATAGTGAAATTACTATCACAAAACTGGGGTCATAATAAAATTGAATGATTTTTGGCTGAGTGGACACACACACACACACACACACACACACACACACGCACACACACAGTTAGACCACTAGAATATACCTAGAATATGCCAGGTCTATACTGCTTGTATATTGCTAACATACAGTGTAGAAAAATAAAAAGAATATTCCTTTGCAAGTTGACTGCAACATCCAGAGCACAGTGTGTTATCGAGACCCATGACTCCCGATACTTATAGCTAGCATCAAGGACTCAGGCGATACTCTCCATGTGGTCCTGTCTAAGAAAACACCCTGGAGCTACAAACAACACGCTCAACATGCGCACACCAACACACACATGCACAGGTGTCCCATGTGTATAAAAGCATGTTGTTTTTCATAGAGATGTTGGACTCACTCTACTGCTCATGTGAAAGACAACAGAGAGCAGGATTTACACACACACACACACACACACACACATGTCTCTTTCTCTATTGGCCATGCAAGACGTGGTCACCAGGACCTCATCATCTTCAAATAACAAGTTACATGATGAATCTTAAAAAAAATGCATTTACATTTACACTGCCTCTCTCCTTCATACCTCTCTGTTCATTTCAAAGAAAATATTGACTAAACAGCATTGTTCATTTAAAATATGGAAATGCATACATATTTATGTATTCTTCGGCGGAATGTCCTGCATAATTTGTCACATGAAATTTACAAGGACATTCCAGCCATCGGCTGTAAATTGAATATGCCCTCACCCAATATATTTTCTTTTGCAGCATGCCCAGCTAGTTTGATTCCTGCAGTCTGAAATTATGAAGGGAAATTCTACTTGCTTTATCTGTAAAGTGCCATCTTCTGCTCTTTGCGCCGGTATCGAAACACATCAGTGAATATGATCATAAATCAGTGTGTGAGTGCTGTTGCATGGCACAGTGTGGTGCTGTAGCAGCACACTGTGCCATCCCCTTTTGGAGAGAAAAGTGTTCCAACTCAGCAGGTCCTCCCCCTCACCTGAGTCTGTCTACTGAATCTTTCATCAAGAGGAGCTTCTCTCCTTCTCACTCTCCTCTCAAATACACACACACACACACACACACACACACACACACACACACACACACACACACACATAGAAGCACGTGAATGCACCTGTTGAATCATTCATTGGTTAGAAATTCCATAGGTCTGCTGGTGGCCTACAGTATAGTGAGAACTACTCTGAACTGCACGCACATACACACATCTGGACACTTCCACAGCCTCTGCAGGGTCAGAGAGAGAGCGATGAGTGGGCTTGAGTTGTTAAATCTTTTATGGACAGGTGAGAGAATCTTATCTGACACGCAATGCCCAACCTCCTCCCGGACCTCCACGTTCTCTCCCGCTTCCCTTCTCTATTTCCTCTCCCTCTCTAAATAGACTTTATCATTTTATTCTCTCCCTCCCATGTTGGTAAGAACATTAAAATGAATAAATGGATAGGAAGGCCATGTTAAACTAACACAATGTGCGTACATGTATCTGTGTGTGTGTGTGTGTCTGTGCTGTAGAACCCAGACATTGTGCTGGTGCACTACCTGAATGTACCAGCAGTGGACGATAGCGGGAAGCCATGTGGTCCTGTCCTCTGCTCCATCAACACAGACAGGAAGGAGTGGGCCAAGTGGAGCAAGGAGGAGCTCATTGGACAACTCAAACCCATGTGTGAGTTAGCGTTACGGTCATTTCAGTATCTCCTACTCTCATGCTTCAGCCCTGTATTTTTCCTAAACCTGGGGATATGAGTCACCTTGGGTCAAAACAACAACAACACCTGTCATGGTACAGTAATTCTTCAAATTAATCTGTAGCAAACCTCTAAAACACAGGGTATTTGGTTCACTGGCTTGCTTTTAGGCTTTGTAAACAACTTGGCAGCAGATGGGGCATGGTCTGGAGCTGTGCCATTTCTTATCAGAACAGACAACAGGTGATTTCAGCAGTTCAGGGGAGATGATATGAAAATGTCTCTCTTGCATCAATGAACTAAATTGAATCTTGGCAGTGCTGATTTAGCACAAACATCTTATTAAGATATTAGAGTAGGTTAAGATAACTCAGTAAGCCAAAATGCAACACCAGGTATGTTCAGGTGTAAACAGTGGCTTTATTTACAAAGTAGTGATATATTAAACAATAATATTCTGTGTTAAAAAGCCAACGTATGAAGAGAAATTCATACCATTCATTCAAGCTTTATACAGATTTAGATTTGTTGTTTTGGATGGCTCCATCAGTCAGCGCCATGCTGCCACCTAGAGGCAGATACACATTTTACCCACAAAAGGGAGGGATGGAGGGAAAGAAGACAGAGGTGCTAGAAATATCCAACATGTATTATTCATAAATGTGCATCAGGGAGTAGATAACTCCAATACACACATACACACACACTTACCTAATCTCTCCCCTCTTTTTATCTGGTTTGGAAGGGCAAATCAGGACAGCTGCCCAAAACTAAGTGGCTTGTTGACTTAAGTAGCACCTCAATTCTCACTCTCCCCACTGAATCATATTCCCTCTCGCTCTTCTACCTGCCCTAATTTGCTCACACAAAACAGCTCTCTGCTTTTTTTTTCCTTTTCTAGCACTTCTCTCTTGATCACTTACTTGAGCCATCTGTGCTCAAAGGCTTTTCATGGGCATTAGATCTCTGACACTTGAAGTGTTTGGTATTTGTTACTTCACTCTGATGTATTCAGCTAAATCCCAAAAATGTAAATGAAGACATCGAATTTAGAAACTGGAAATACCCTCAGGTGTTAGAATTGACATGTCTTTCAATATATGCATTTTGCACATTTTGCATTTATGTATTTAAAGTTTTGAACACTCAAGAGTCTGAACCAGTGTTATCAGAGTATTCATGATCTCAGTTATCAGTGTACATTCTGAACACTGGAGGGCGCCCTTACACACTTTCAAATGAGTGTGGGGTAATGCCACGATACTATAAAGATTGACCTGAGCAAATGAAAGGGCATAAAATGAAGATGCATCTTAATAAATGATGTTTCCTTTGTTTGAATGTCTCTTCTGACAGGTGCTGGAAGCAGCTTGCATCAGAAATGTTCCAGTGTCAAGCAGCGCATCATCTCATCCAAGCAGGAGTCAGGGGCAGCAGCGGGAGGTGGAGCTGCAGCAGGTATGGGTGTAGCGGCAGGCCAGAGAGCTGAGGAAGCAGATGGCACAGAGGTCCAGAACAGCGATGTGTCAGAAGGCCAGACTGAGCCCAGTCCTGGAGGGGGCAGGAGTAGAGCGGGTGGAGGAGAGAGGAGGAATGGCAGGATAAACAACAAACCCTCCTTGCTCCCACAGAGCAGCATGGAAGTGTCGTCATCTACCTCCACCAACCAGGTGGAGGTCCCTGACACCACCCAGAGCTCCCCATTGTCAATCACCAGCGACATGGCTGATAGTCCCGCTCTGGCCATTGGGGCTGGCTTGACACAGAGCACAGCTGTGTTCATGTCTGAGGTCACCACGCTGACTGGGGATTCGGTCTACTCTGCAGGCCACACCCACCTGCTGGCATCCACCCATGAGAGCACCACCGCTGGCATCCTGTTGGCTGTTGCCCCTGAAAACCAGAGGTTTGCGGCGTTTCCTGGTGGTGTGGGCTTAGGGGAGGGAGGAGAGTTGGTTCTGTCTAGCTCTTTAGACTCTGTTGGAGGAGTCAGCCTTCCTGAGACCGCCATGACGTTTGACCCTGATTGCTTCCTCAACAATCCCAAGCAGGGCCAAACGTATGGAGGAGGTGGAGGGAAGGTCGAGCGATGTAACAGTGATGATGGAGGACCCCACTGCTCCTCCAACGGCTTCATCTACAACCCAGCCCTTGTCATCAACATCAAGACGGAACCTGCACCCCTGGAGCTACCGCTGGCCCCTCAGAGCAGCTATGTAGGGGAAGGGACAGGCCTCAGTCCCAGCACCACCCTGGAGCAGATGGACTTCAGTGCTGTGATGTCATCAGCCTGTGTCCCGAGTCTGACCCAGCCTGCACACCACCCCTCCCCCAGCCTCTTCCTCCAGACCTCCCCCCAGACAAGCCAGCCCTCCCAGCTGCACTCCAATGGCACTGAGGCAACACAGGAATCAGGCGAGGCCCAGGTTTATATAGGCCTGCCCACGGTGCCAACAGAGACACCAGTCACCAATGGAGACCCGCATACACACCTCCACCAAGCCAGCCCAGACCAGCAGGGCCTGTGTGGAAGGAATGGACAAGGAGCGGCTATGGGCTCCTTTCCTCTAACACCACAGGATACCACCGTCGAACAGTCAGGCAGTAGGGGACATCGAGAGGTCGGGGGCTTAGATAAGACTTCTGAGAATGGAGGGGAGTTGCTTCTCAAGCCTGGGGATCCTCACGTGGCCTACACGAGTGTTGACACCGAACACTACCTGCAACCCACCGATGACAATGGAGGAGGAGAGGAGGGCGGAGGTGGAGGAGGACGGGGAAATGAGATTCTCTGTAATGGTGTTAGCTTGTCAGGGGGCAATAGTTCAGTGGTGGCCAGTCCTCAGTCAATAGCTGCTGGTACAAGCATTGAGGGGGCACTCTACAGCTCTGCTCTTCCTCAGCAAGGTCGGGGGGTGTCAGCTACAACAACAGGGGCAGGAGCGGCCATTAGTCTGGAAGGCTTTGAGGCTTCTTTTGGAAGCCAGTTCTCTGATCTCATCAATGATTTCATCTCAGTTGAGGGGTCTGGAGGTGGGGTGGGCGCAGCTGTGACTGGGGTTCTAATGCCTCAGGAGGGGGCAGCAGGAGAGGAGCAGGGCACAGGAACAGGCCATCTGCAGGGCTCGGAGGTGGAGCAGGGAGCTCTGGGACTGCTCCAGGAGACTGGGAGGCTGTTTGGTGTGACAGACTACTCCCCAGAGTGGTCTTATCCAGAGGTTAGTAAACCCTACATGATTATCATTCATTATTTATTCATCATTGTTCCCTACAGGAAAATCAGTCCCCCCCCCCACCACCACATGATTGACTTACTGATGTTAAACTCTGAAATCACACTCGGCACAATGTACTTGTACTAAGACCGCCAGCCTGGCTGTGTGGTCATTAAGGAGTCAGAATATCTCAGACTCAGCTGATTGGATTTTGATGGAATTTCAATATTACACTGATTACGCTGGGTGGCTTCATTAATTTACCCATGTACCACTTACAACATCTCAGACACCAGTTCTGTCACTGAATCATGATGAAACTTGTGGAAACAGCATCTTTTTGTAGAAAATAACTTTTTTAACTAACTGTATCTCATGTCTCATGAGCTCTCATCCCAACGCGTGCACATATTCAGCTAATATTTTTCTGCCACTTTCTTCCAGGATCATCAGCGTTACATCATACTGGTTATTCCACGGTTTCGAGTATCTTAAAAAGCAGCAATGTTTCACCCCAAAGGCTCAAAGGGTGATGGTAGAATTTTTAGAATTAATTGAAAAAGTGCACTGCAAATGCCAAATAAAAACTGCCAAATGCTAGTAAATAGTTTTAAAATCGAAAATGGGTTGTTTATCTATATTTACTTCATGACTTAACATGACTTGGGGGAAAAATATGTTGTTTACGTTTTATTTTTAGCTACAACACATGGCAGTGTTGTTCAGATGGTTCTAACAACTTAGATGTAAGGAGCAAACCACCCTCTAGAGGCTGTTACCAGGCTTGTTAGTCTCGTAGATTTGTCAATGGCAAAATAATAACCACTTTAGTAATGAGGCAATTACTTATATTTATCAGTTTAGATTCATATAATAGAAAACAAAAAAGTAGGCCACTGTGTCTCTGAGGTTTGTTTTTGCCAGAGATGGAATCACGATGTTTGATAGAAACGCAGTACACAATGCTTAAATGTGTACAGTGTGTGTGTGTGTGTGTGTGTGTGTGTGTGTGTGTGTGTGAGTGTGGTGTTAGACTGAGTCCTCTGTTTGTGTGCTACAGGGTGGAGTGAAGGTGCTTATCACAGGTCCGTGGTTGGAGTCGAGCAGTGAGTACAGCTGTCTCTTTGACCACATCAGTGTCCCTGCTGCACTCATCCAGCCTGGGGTGCTGCGCTGCTACTGCCCAGGTAACACACATGTGTATGCATGCACTATCACAACGCACACTCCTTTAACAAAGAAAAAGCCATTACTTTTTCAAAAAATATTAACCTAACCCCAACCGTCACTGCACTAACCCCTATTATGAGCAATTTATTTTTCTTCAGCATGCAAAGAAAGAGTCTTACTATGTCGGCTGCACACCCTTTTGGGAGAGTCCCACAAAACAATTAGGACACTACAAAAAAGAACATTGTGAGGAGGGACACGATAAACACAGCTTTGCTTGGAATTTGTTTTTTTTGGGATGGTATAGTAAATGATAGATGAGTCACATCCTGCTACATTAGGTGTGATCAGGGGATAACTGCAAGACAAAGTCTTTTTCAGGCACACGTGGGCAAAAGCAATATTCGACATTCGAAGTGTCTGATGGATTACAGACTGTCCTGCAATTATTCTTTGACAAGAGATCAGTCTCAGCACACAGACAATCTTACTAATTCCTTACCTGATGTCTGTTTCCAGCACATGACACAGGGCTGGTGATGCTGCAGGTAGCTATGGGTGGTGAGGTCATCTCTTCCTCTGTGGTGTTTGAATACAAAGCACGTGACCTTCCTGCCCTGCCATCTTCTCAGCATGACTGGCTGTCCCTCGATGGTGAGAGCAATTTGTCTTTTAAGCACACAGGGATGCACAGTTACACTCTTATTGTCTTATTATTTACTCAGTAAAGAGCATAAACATGTACATAACTGCTTCATTGTGCGCCTGGAGTGTTGCGTGTGTGAGATTTATTTTGTATTTTTAGACATACTGCATGTTTGAGGTCATGCACTTGACTGATTTTAACCCAAAAAAGTTAAACCAACATACAAAAAAAATATTTTCCTTATTATTAATTTATACTTTTGGTGCACCTTACCTCAACTACAATTTTGGATTTGTTAAAATTTTGAGAGAACCTTTTGATGTGTCTGTATGTGTGTATGTGTGTGTGTGTGTGTGTGTGTGTGTGTGAGTGAGTGAGTGAGTGTGTGTGTGTGTGTGTGAGTGTGTGTGTGTGTGTGTGTGTGTGTGTGTGTGTGTGTGTGTGTGTGTGTGTGTGGCTGTCATGATGCTGCTCTGTTTTGGTAGATGCATCCCTTATTGTCATGCTGCCACAGATGTATGGTATCGTGGCTGTGTGTTATTTGGCTGAATTGTCTTCTGTGCTGGGGATGCAGCTGTTTTTTTTTCTATTGTCGCCCTCAGCTGCATGCGGATACATTAAAGAAGGGATCTAAGCTCCCAACCCGTTTGACAACTGCACAGATGAAGAGAAATCTGAATTATTTTGCTAGAGCTTTAGATGTTGTTTTAGTGAGATTTCAATTAATCAAATTAAAACGTAAGATGTTGGAGGGAAATTAAATGTTCTTGGAGTCAGCTCTGGGGGAGGAGTTGCATATAGAGTATGTGCACAGCACGGGGGGGCTTCTGTGTGCAAATAGATCTCCTGATGCAATTGCGGCTTGGAAACACACGGGTCTCCTCTGCGAGGCATGTCCTGGGTTACTCTGTGTTCGCCCCCGTCTCTGCGTTGCGCAATGCGGCACTGCGGCTCTACAGTCACAGCATGGCTGGCTGTTTGCTGGAGTGAAGGGCAAGGACATCATGGCACAATCGCGGTCCACTTAACAGTCAAAATGTTTGCCACCACCAGCAACGTGCTGTGCAGTCTCATACACGGTATATATAGGCTCTGACTTTGACTTTCAATCGTGATGCCGAGACCCGAACGTGCGCTCTGGTGTTCAAGTCCTTTGTTTGGCCTCAAATGTTCATCAAAGGCGCATCGCCTGGAGTTAAACAACAGACAGATTAGTCGTTTTAATCACATTTGCGTCATCGTACGACTTTGTCACATGTCATTGCTCCAATTTAGTTTGCGTGCAGTTTATTGTTGAACCGATGACGACCGAGCCTCCTGCAGCTCAGAGTCTGGCGGGCGGATTTGAAGCGTGTCTGCTCTGCTCTCATAGAAACAACTCTCTCTCTCTCTCTCTTCCCCCCCCCTCTCTCTCTCTCTCTCTCTCTCTCTCTCTCTCTCTCTGCACTTACAGTAGTTGTGTTTGCTCGATCGGAGTAGCAATGTGTGAGTCGCACGCTTCAAACTAACGGGGTTGAGCAGAAGCGGGAACAAAGAGAGCAGCAGATAGAGAGACTCGCTGTTTGGGTTCGTAGCTTATTTGATTTTAAACTGATGTTAACTTCAAAACGCGCCCTTTTAACGGCTTCTAGGTCTGTTATTCTAGGCGGGTTAAGTTTTTTTCTTTTTAATCACGCTGCTGTAGATTGCTGATTTTTTAAATTTCGACTTCATAGCTGTAAAGCCTTAAACTGCTTTTAGATTTCATGTTTCAGTCCAAATCTTTGCACTATATGTGGTGCAGCCTCTGTCGATTTGAGATAATGGGACGGAAGAAATGCCACAAGTCCTCACGTTGTTTGCTCGCTAGATGTTTGAACTAGATGTTGGCTGCTTGTTTTATGTCGCAGGCCTGATGATTAGAAGCTTGTTTAGCTGTTAACTTTCAGCACCACCAGGAGAGGACAGCTCCACTGAACAGAACAACAACAAATGACGGAGGGATAATGTGGCTCCTGTTGAGGCCCAGATAATAACAAGCCTATAGGCACATACATGTGGGCATGTTGTTGATCACCCAAAGCTTGAATACATAACATACTCTGTGTTGTGGATGTTCATGTTTATTACTGTATGGACCCTATGCCAATGTGTTTGTCTGATGAGTGTTTCTCCAATTAACTTCAACTAAACAATGCAGTCTGTTTGAGTCCTATATTTCACATTGATTAAATATATGGAGAACTATTGATTCAACAAAAAAAGGACTTGAAATTGTATGCAAACCCACTTGGATTTAGTAATAAAGCCACTAGTTGTAGGTTTGCCAACTGTAAACTGATTTTAAAGTATTCTAAACCTTCATCATAGTTTTGGTAGAATATTTAATATTAATAATTTAATAGAATATAAATGGTAAAATAGATACACTACATATTGTTACCGTTACAAACACAAATTTGTCTCAAATCTGCTCTTTTTTTGGTTTCAATTGGTTTGCAATGCAGTCATCTGTTATCGGAGTTTGTTGATGTCACTTCTAACTGTGTTGTGGTTAGCCAGTGGTGAAAGCTTGTGCAGAACTTAATTTCTTCGGATAAGAATCCATCGAAAAAAAGCATTTTGGGGGATAGAACCCAAATAGACCAGAAAAGCTGGTCAGTAAATCCACAGGTACCCAGAACAACTACAAGTATTAAATTGTATTCAAGAGCAGGAATATAGAAGCTGGAGTGTGTCACCAGAATATTTATGACCTTTTTTTTTTACTGGTCAATTTTAATCCATTTACTTAATTAATACACTCAACTTAATAATATAATGAATTACATTTGCATTTAAACAATGTGGTTAAAAAGGCTATTAGTTGCATGCAACTGACATGATAAAGATTTTTTATTAAATTCTTAATTTACTTTTAAAGGAGTTCCTTTCTTGCCTTCCTCTGTATCCTTCATAACATAAGCCCTGCAGCATTTCGACTCGAGTAGCATGATTTGCAGGTAGATACGTGAATTGTAAAATATGAAATGACATTAAGGCGCAGTAAATAAAAAAACAAAATGTAAAGCCTGTGTGAAAGACATTTTATAAACATATTTAAAATTTTAAAAATCAAGCTGTCAATATAAGAGGTTAATCAAATGACTATTTCTCAGCTTTCTAATTATATTTGAATGTATTTGTTAATTAAGTTATTATAATTAACCACAAAAAAGTCCTCCTAGCAGATGCCAACTTCTGTAGTCTTCTCAATCATTGCTTTCTGTTTTAAAGTGTCTGCAAGCATAACATGCTTTATATGTAACCAGAAATTCCTTTTTGTGGATGTACTTGTATGTGTTTGTTTGAGTTTGCAGATGGGGGAAGACTGCTGCTTCTTATGTGTTCAAATAGTGGAGTGTTTTGATTTGTGTTTGAAAAAGCTGTGTTTCCAGAAAACTCGACTCCTTTTCTGATTGGCAGAGTGGAAAGGGAGGAGCCTCAGCCTCCATTCACACTCATGGCTCCACCCTTTCAGCTCAGTTTGTGTGCTGCAGATAGAAAGAAAGAAAAATGGGAGTGAAATGAGAGGAGAGAAAAATAGAGAGACTGAGTGAGAGAGCAGCAGGTGGGATGACATAATGGGCACTGCAGCAGAACTGCAGCAGCACTGACTGAAACAAAGGGTCACACATACAAACAGCCATAAAAACATTACATTTGTTCTCTAATCTAAGATCGATAATCTTTCACTCACACATACACACACAAACACACAGTTTTCTTGGTTCCCATTGTTGGTAAGGGATTTTATTGATTGCAGTACTGAATTAATCTGCAGAGCTTCTCTCCCTGAGCCTCTCAAAGTAGGATTTACTTAACATGATATTGATTTGCTGAATTTGCTGAATTGCAACAAGCAAGTAGCCATTGTTTACAATCTCTACATGTCCCACCTTCATTCCCGTAGATACCCAGTTCAGGATGTCCATCCTGGAACGTCTGGAGCAGATGGAACAGAGGATGGCTGAGATAACCAATCAGAACCCCAACTCAGAAACCATGGCAACCAAGGGTGGAGGATTGGAGGGAGGAGGAGGAGCTAGTGATCAGCAGTCTCCAGTAAGGCAGAAAAGGAGTGATTTAGCTCCTTCTCACGTATAAAATCTAAAACAGTATTACGAGAGCAGTACAGGTGAACAACGTTAAACAAAACAGAACTTGTTTTAGTCTTCAAAGTTTAATTCAAGCAAGTCTTGAAAACCTTGACTCACTCGGATTAAATTTGAAGATTGCATGATGATGATCTACTGGTGTAAACCCCTACAGTATATTATAGGCCTTTCCACCATTTTTGGAACTTAAAACACAGCCTCTTTCTTGGTAAAACCAACCTTTGTAAAAAGTTGAAATTTTTTTTTTTAAATCTGCAAAAATGTTCATGATAAAAGTCCTGGAAACCCTTTTTGTCTCTGATCTTCCAGATTTCTACCGATCAAGGTTCATTCGAGGGTCGTGTCGTGGTAGTGTGTGAGAAGATGATGTCTCAGCCTTGTTGGGCTTCATCTAATCAGCTCGTCCACAGTAAGAACTCCAGAGGAATGACCTTACTGCATCTGGCTGCAGCTCAGGGCTACGCAGGGCTCATTCAGACACTCATTCGCTGGCGGTGCGTAACACACAATCATGACACACCATTGTGAACGCACAGACTGTCGGTTAATTTCACTTGTGCTGTCTTGCTCTGCAGCACAAAGCATGCCGACAGTATTGACCTCGAGCTAGAGGTGGATCCTCTCAACGTAGACCACTTCTCCTGTACTCCATTGGTGAGTAATCAATATCAATATTTCTGAATGGCGTTTTGAGTGTGTCTTTCTTTCCGTGCCTGTGTGTGATCTTTTTTTTTTTTTTTGGGCCTCCACAGATGTGGGCATGTGCTCTGGGCCACACTGAGGCAGCATTGGTGCTTTATCAGTGGGACCCAAGAGCTTTGGCTATTCCTGATTCGCTGGGACGCTTGCCGCTCAACATTGCCCGATCCCGGGGTCACACTAGATTAGCTGAGCTCTTAGAGCAGCTGCAACAGACTCCTCAAGCTCAGGGCCCACCTGCTGACACTTGGATGGACAGGTGGAGAGGAGAGTCACAGACCAGCGGAATAAGCAACAGCCCTACGCCAAACCCTAACTCAGGTGGGAAAGCCTGCTGTTTTGTGGTTTGTCACCACCAGGAAATAATTTGTCTCATTTTAAAGGGTCAGGTTTCAGTTGTCAATGAGACTTGGTATACAGCAGGTTAGCTTAGCTTAGCATGAAGGCTGGAAACAGCTAGCCTGACTCTGTCCAAAGGTAACAAACTCAAAAATTGTAAAGCTCACCAATTAATACATCATAAGTGTAGAAACAACAATTCAATATTTTCCGAGGGTTATGTGCTGTATGATTGTCTCAGCTGGTTTCCTCTTTCTGATCTTTGTGCTGAGTTAAGCTAACCGGCTGCTGGTTTTAGCTACAAATTAACCGGACAGACGTGAGAGTGACATCAGTCTTCCCATTTAACTCTGGGCAAGAAGACAGCCAATAAGTTTATTTCCCAAAATGTTAAACTATTCCTTTGAAATTAACATTTGAAAAACTTAACAGCAATGTGTCTGTCCGGTAACTCGGGATATTCTATACACCTCTTTATGGTACAAATTATTGCAAGCTATTTCTAGGTCTAAGTGGGTACAGGTACAGGCGTTTTAATAAGTTAGAAATCCACTGAGGTAGGAATCTATGTTGCCACTTGCTCTTATTTTCCAGCATCTTTGTTTCCCCAGAGCTGAGGAGAGCCAGGACGGAGAGCCAGCCAGACAACCAGAACCCGAGCTGGAGCCAAACAGGACACAGAGCCCAACAGGGAACCCAGGGAGAACAGGGAGGCCCACCCCCAGCCAAGAGACTCAAACCCAGCCCCGACACACAGCAACAGCTAGCTAACTCAACCCCTGGCACTAACACCCTCTCCACTCTCCTCAACTCGTCCCCTAGTCCTAACCCTCAATGCTCTCTCCTCCCCAACACCCTACAAACTCAACCCTCCAACCTCAGCTGTCAGAACGCACCTCCTGCCAGCTCCAGCCCTAATCGGCCTCAGCTCCCCAGCGCTCCATTCTCCCACCTGCAGGCCAGGATAGGGGGGTCTGGAGGGGGCACCAGGTGGAGTCTAAGACAGACTCTGGGGCAGCGTAGCCTAGCCAGGAGGATTCTAGGAAAAGAACGACTTGCCATTCACCTGCGCCAAAGGCTGCTGTCTGACAGGGGAGAGGAGACAGAGCTGCTGACCTATCAGGATAACACAGAGGACCTGCAGGTAGGGGGAGCAGTTTGTGAGGGGCAGTTTTGATCTTGGTCCTTAACCAAAACTGAACTTTTTGTACTGTATATAATGGACAATGTATACAGCTTGCTTGCATGTGTGCCATGTTTGTGATAACATACATGAATACATTAAAAAATCTATGAAAACAACACTTTGACCTTCAGTGTGAATAAGGGGAAACTCCCATGATACCTCATTAGGTAGAATATAAACAGATAATGATATCTATTGTACTCAAACTTTGTCGACATTGAATTTGTCATCATGAGAAGGGCACCTGGTGCAAGGGCAGCGGTGCTATCTTCACCACTCAGTTACTTCCACACAAGCAGACACACACTAATACAAAACATCAAGTGCACTTACAGAAAGGGAAAACCGGGCACACATACTAGATGCTCACTGGCAGGAACTAGAACTGAGTACTAATTGGTTAAACCTTACATTAAAGGGATAGTTTAACTCTCAGTTTGTGTACACCACTGACTTTGGCCAAACAATGATAAAGGCTAAAATAGTTTTAGTTTGGATTTAGCCATTTGTATTGATTGCCTATCTAGAAAAAAAGAAGCTCTGATGCCTTCATTTTTGAGATAATTAGCCAGTGGAAGACATGTGGCTGTATATTATATTATATAGTTAAATCAGTGCAGGCCCATTTAACTGTTAGAGGTACCCTGATGTCACATCTAGCATGACATGGGGGGGTCATGAATAGAGGATAGAAGATGTATTACATTATTAAACCTTTTTGGTTTGTTCAAGAAGCAGTCATATGTTTTGTATGAGCTAAAGACATTTGATGTATACAGCATATGCATACATGCACTGCCTACAGATTAACTTTAACAGAAAGTTTATAAGTGATGATGATAATGCACAGACTTTGGGTCTGTGCAGGGAATTAAGAGAAACATCAATTTTTCACTAGCCCACCTAAAAGTATAAAAAGCAGTCGTTGCCTTAAACCATTAAGTGCACAGAGTTGAGTGTCATTAGTAAAGGCATTAAAACAAATGCCAAAATTAAAGATTATTTTTAACTTAAAGGGCAGCAGGTGTTAGAAATATGTGAGTAACATCTGCTCTGCGTGTCTTGCAGATGGACATTACGATGCTAGCAGATCACATCATGGAGGCTTCAACTTGTAGGCTTAAACAGGAGGATATGGAGACTGAAACAGACTCCAGCAAGGTGGGAATCAGCAGTGATGTCAAGTTACTGTCTGGTTACCTTGGGGAGGTGGAGAGGTGAGTCAATGAATTCCTGATTCCTTTACCTAACTCATCAAATAGCGTAAATCTTTTTTAGTATTCAACTTTTGCTTTCCTCCCCTGCTTTTCTCCAGGTTTCTAAACTCCAAGTCCAAGACTCCTAGCCCCAAAGCAAACCCCCTCTCAGGGCCTGAGGATCAGCAGAGTCCACAGGCTAGAGACGCCCTATCCTCCTCCTCTGACTGGACCTCCTTCCTCTGTGCAGCTATGAAAGAAGAGAGGTTGAAAACTGACTCCTGTCTAGCTATGACTGAGGAAGAGCAGGGGGAGCTGTATGAGACCATCAGGCATGCTCTGCACTCCCTCAGAAAACACAAGGTATACACCTGGTTTCCACTTCTTTCGAAAAATACAAAAGTTTGCCGAAGAGATTGTAAAATAATCTGATGCATTTTGTCACCATGTTGTTTGTAAATCCTGGTTCTGGCATTTGTTCAAATTATCCTCCAACCCATTTCTATCTTTCATGAATCACAATCTTAAAAAGTCAATGAACCATTTAACATGTACAAACTCTTAATCCCTCTCCCGTCAGGGTCCCATTCAGGAACAACGTAAAGAGATTGCAGCAGTGATTCAGCGCTGCTATAAGAGATACAAACAGGTAAGTGTTAACAGCACACAGCTAGCATCAACCCTCTACTTGCTTTTACTTCAAGCTGACCTACAGTTAGGTACTGAATTAGATATCCAAAAAATGTCATTAAGCATTTTGATTCTCTGATTTGTGCTAAAACCTATTTTGTGCATTGGACATTGATTTTCAATAAACTGAAAATGTTAATGTGGCGTGTCCACATCCTGTGCTACAGTTTTTTTCTTTTAATGGTGCTAACTTTTTAATTTCTTTACTACGATTACTTTCTAATAGCGCCAATGTACTAATGTATAATGAAGCCATACAGCTTAGTTATGTCGTTTACTATGTGTCTCCATATTGAAGTTTAAAGCATTAAAGTTGTTTACATCATTTATTGTAGAAGCTTTTATTCACACTCAAGTCAGTTTATCACACATTTTAGTTTTTTGCTTAAGACAGCCTGACATAACAAAAATGAAGAAATTAAAAATGATGATACATGTGTACTCAGGATTAAAGACAACAACGGTCCATATATTTTGATGAAATGGTTTACAACACGCTGCTTATGTCTTCTCTCTCAGTATGCACTTTATAAGAGGATGACCCTGGCAGCCATCCTGATCCAGAGTCGTTTCCGGAGTTTCCATGAGCAGAGGAAGTTCCAACAGAGTCGAAGAGCAGCGGTCCTCATCCAGCAATACTACCGCTCCTATAGACACTCCCTCGGGTACTTCACTCTCTCTCACACACAGAAAGGGCATAAATATGCAAAAGATTTCTTCTTACTCCTGTGTCTTACCCTACAGCAGCCTCCTGACGAAAAAACAGAACCAGGCTGCTCGCAAGATCCTGAGATTCCTGCTCCGATGCCGCCACAGGTGATCTCCTCGCACCCTCTTCAACACCTCTGCACAGTGCACACACATCCAAACCCGCACACACTTACAGCGCACTGCCGTTCATGCGCTCTCTACGTTGGTGCTAATAGTTGGTGTTGTTTTACTGTTCCTGTGAAGCCCCTTGATGGACCATAGGCCTCTGAAACGGGTGAGTTTTCTCTCTTTCTTCTGTCTTTCCCTCTCTCATGGTGGCTGATGCCTGTTTGCATGTCAGCGGAGGGAGGGGGAGAGGAGATCCTGGATTATCATCCTTCCCTTTCACTCTCTCTCTCTCTCTCTCTCTCTCTCTCTCTCTTCTTCCCTCCCTGTCTCCCGGTCTCTCTCTCTCTGTCTCTCTCCGAGGACTGCTGAATGATGTCGATACTTCTGCATGATTGAATGATAGATAGATAAATAGAGGAGCGATTCTTGCATATGGTGTTCATGGGAGCATGTTCTGACTGACATCACTAGGGGCCTTTAAATGTCTTGCTTGCCTGCCAGCCTCTTTTTTTGTGCTTTGGGTGGGGGGATTACAGGATGTGTGTGTCTGTGTGTGCAGAATTGCAGGGGGTTTGCTGAATAACTTTTCTTGTTGCTCTGAGTATGGCCTTTAGATATAAAAATGGAGAGAAAAACACATGCGCAAAATAGACACATTCACACACAACAATTTCTCTGAACATGTCTCCAACATGTGTTTGTTTTTTTCCCCAGGGCCAGAGAGCAGAGAAAGGCCAAGGGTCCTGAGAGCCCACCACCAGGCCCCAAGCAAAGCCCCCTCAGCCTGTGAGCAATCTATAAACCCTCCCCACCCTCCATCTTCTCCTTTCTCCTTTCTTCCATCCCCCCCAAAAACTCTTTCCATCTTCCATTCCCCAACCCCTTCTCCTGCCCTTTCCATTCCTCTCCCCCATCCTTCTTTCTCACCCTATCTCCCTTCTTCTCTCAAAAGGGAAAAAAAACTCTTCCCAGACAGACTGAGGACAGGATAGGTGTCCATCATGGCAGCTCAGACAGACAGACTGCTGGGTAGAGCCACGGGACCTGGCTCTACCCACAGCGCTGATCCTCCTCCACAGTTTCACTGGGAGGCCATCACATTAACCTCATGGCATTCTTTGCACTCCTCATGGGTATGTTTCTTTGCAAGAGCAAGTCAACGAGTCAGACGAGAGAGCACGAGGAAGCACCTGGCGACGACATCCTGACTTTTAAGGCAGCATCTGGACGTGCTGGCTCAAGATAAAAGCTACTGGCGACATGCAGAAAATATACAAACCCTGTTGCGTTTTGTATCCAAACAGTAATCCATGAAAGAATAAGAAAACATAAACCAAAAAACTCACTTCTGTGTTGCATTTGCATGCAAGGTTTTTTCGCTTATTCCTCCTCTCCATCATCCTGAAAAGCTATAGTGGCAAATCATTCTGCTAATTCAGTATATCACAATATCACTAACCACTCTGACTCACAGGCTTACAAACCTATTAATCAGTCACCCGATCAAAAGGGGAGGAACTGCACTTGAATGTAAGAGGGGCATTGTTAGACAAGGCTTGGGGTCTGAATAACGATGTCTTAATTTGTTACATGGACTTTGTATGGAGTCGTTCTCAGAGGCAGCACTTTGCTCGCCTGACGTGGTGTGTCCGTGTTTGTTCAATTCAATGCATGTGTTTGAGCTATGAGCTCCTGCATGCTTGCCAAACTGCTTTAGTGTTGTTTCTTTTGTATTTCTATGTGTAGTTGTGTCTCACTTACGTCCTCATCAACTTAACCTTGCCCTGTGTAATGTGAACTGTGTAAGGACAAATGACTTATTTTGGGTGCTTTTTTTAAACTTTATTTATTTATTTAAGGGTCTAATTATTTATTTAATTGGCTCAAGAGTGGTTCAGCTTGAGACTGGTTTTCCCCCCTTGTGTGGTAAAATATGACATGTCCCAATGGTTAAATGTCTCTGTTAGTTTGTTCTTTGCGTGAACCTCTAAATCCTAACTGCGGTTTTGAGGAGAGAGTCACATACCATTGCCTTGACTTCTTCTTGACTCTGAGAGGTCTCTATGCTTGCTCTGTACAGGACATGGGTCCTATACCTGCCCCTATACAGGGCATTGGTCCCCATACTAGCCCATATGGGCAATCAAATCCATATTTTGGACTATTGCATATTCCTGTATATAAACTGACGAGGTAAGGGGATACAAGGACCCTGAAACTTTTTCATAAGAGGACTGTATTTAAGATTATAAATTATTTTACTCCCATAATGAGAACTTAAGACAGAGACCTGGGTACACAGGATGGCTGTATTGCTTGTAAATAATGTAGATATTACAAACGGAGTAATGTGCATGAGATTTAAGACAAAGAAACAGCAAAAAGAAGATGTTAGTGGCTATGGACTGTGAGAGGATTTTAACTGCTTCACTTTAAGAGTATCCAGTATAAGTGTTACTGAAAAGAACATTTTGTTAAAGCATGCAACTGAAAAATCTAATGTTAGAATTATAAGTGGGAAAACAAACTTAGCTGAAACAATGATCTTTCAGACAAAACATTTACATTTTGTGCTTTCGTTTCTTGGCTAGCAAAAATTAAACTCTTTTTGCCAGTAGTGCCAATTATTATGAATGCTATTTTGCCTAACAATATGTTACGTTGGGGAAGCCAACACCCAAAAGATATCAGTAAGATCCACAGAGGCAACACACAGACAATAAACCGTGGAACAGATCTAGTACTAGCTCAACCATAGATTAGCTCTGGGGTTTGTCTAAGGCAGACGTAAGTGTAGACGACCATGATGCAAGTATGAACATGATACTAATGGTGATGTTGATGATCATTTTAATATGAATGCAATGAATGATGATCCAAAACGGGAAGAGGGCACTACATTATTTACAATGTGGTTGTGCTTCAGCAACACACTAGCTTTTATTAAGACCATTAATCACACCTACAGAGGATCCAGCCTGGCCTCCAGTCAAAGCTTTCCATCTTCAAACAGAATGTCTCCTCCCCCCTGCTTTTAACATATCATTTGGTTAATTTTTCTTTTCTCCTCATTGTCACTGCCATTATGATACATGTACTTTAGACTTCTGGAAAGCTCTGTTTAGAAAGTGCCTGCTCAATAACAGAAAAGTGCAAGCTAATATCAGGAAATATCTATTGTATGTCATCCAAAAGGTTGCCAGTTACCTGTTTATTTTCCTAAATTGTGTGTTAAAAGTGAACTTGCCAATGTTAAACTTGATCTGAGTCTAAGTTAGAAGCTCTAATTTGTCAGTGGTATGAATGAATGCTCATGGCCTGATGGATGCTGTGTGTTGCTTTATGAGACAAACCAGTAATTACAGTATCACTTTATGCCCCACTTGTGTGTCAGTTTTGCAGTATTAGAACAAGAAACCCATAGAAATGAGCCTCTGTGTCTGAAAGGCACTGTCACGAGTCTATTCAACGTCCCAGTGTCGCTGTTGGGAGGAAGATGTGTTTTCTTGCAAGGACTCACTTTGTTTGTCTTTCTTTCAAGAAATAATCTTGCAGCATTTAAACGAAAGCATAAGCCGACAGTTTTCCAGAGGACACAATAGCTGTCACTTCCTTTCTTTTTCTCTCTCACACTGACGTGCGCAACACACGCACACACACATGAACACATACATACAGTACACAAATGTACACGCTCAGAAACAGCCACACTCTTTCTCTCTGTGCTTATGTCTTTGGGAACAATTAAATCTCTCCCTTAGATTTTACTCAGGGTTGAAGAACAGGGAGATGGTATGTGGAGTGTGATGATTGTTGACACAGAGTTGTACTGCTACTGGTGACCGTGTACATTTGTGTGTGCATATGTATATGTATGTATTTGTGTATGTTAGGGATACTCCAGTTGTTCATTCACTAACCTAGTATCTACAAATTTTCAAATCATGTTCTTGATTGACACAATCCTTCTGAAAGTCTCATTTTGTGAGGCAGCAAGTGTGAGGCTTCATCAAGCTGCCTTTGCATCACTTTTTCTACAAGAAAAGAAAATCTCCAAATCCGGTATTTTATAGGATTTTGTTTGATGATTATGAACTAAATTGAAAGCAAGTAATAAGTGTTATTTCTATTCAGATACTTGCTCTTGTCTTAAACGCACAAGATTCTTGATACAAATAGTTCTTGAATAAAAATAGGTAACGGCCACATATCACCTCAATTTTCTTAATTAAATAAGAAAAAATGTAAGAGATAATACATTGAAAGATTTACAATTGGACGATCTCTAGTCTACGTGTTTCACATGTTTTCGGAATTTTCATCATACTGAGAGACAGCCATGGTTAGGACAGCGCTGTAAGGAGCATTCATGTTACGCTATCACATGAACCTCTTCTTAAACTGCCCCTCTTCTCACATCAGCACACTCAAGTCACAAAGAGCACTGCTTTGGCCTCCTATATATACAGTATGTATATATATATATATATATATATATACA